TCATAGCAAACTATTAGTTGAATCTTTAGAAATTATGCACATTAGGAAACTAGAAATATTTTTATCTAACAGTGAGAAATGTAAATTTTAACCAATGCTTATTTTCAGACCCCAATTATAGCAAGTATATCCAATGCCAAGCAGAAAAGTATAGTTTGGAAGTTTAAGATTTCTGATAACTGAAGTAAAGCAATATTTTAAATGTAGCTAGGTACTTTAGGTGATTTACGTAAAGAAATTGTTTTCTTTGTTTAAATTCTTACCCAATTTTTAAATAAAAAGGATATTTAACTTTTCTTTTTTATTTCCTAAGTTATTGTGTTACTTTTTCTACTAAATGTCTTATTAATAAATTTACTTTGTTCATTAAGTTTCCCAAACCAACTGTAGGGCCTGAAAATAATGAATTTTAAACATTGTAGGTATCAGAATTGGTAAAAATATTGGTATTGTCCTATCACTAGTTGCATTTAAATTTTTGAAGATCATGGTTGATGGGAAAGCAAGAAGCCAGAAGAGTTCCACAAACCAGAAGAAACTATTAGCATAGAGCTTATAATTATTTAACAATTTCAATATCTATTAAAGGAATGGTATCTGCAGAGAGCCATCATCTGTCATGAAGGGACATGACATTAAAAATGTTTTAAAATTTAATCAGTGTTGCTGTCCTTCAAGCAGAGAGAAGTTTTTTGTTGGATATGTAAAACAAGTTTTAGCTTAGTGCCCAGTTGTGAGAAATATAGAATAAAAAATTAAAACATTACTAAGAAATATTGATAACATTATTGATAAATAAAAATGGAACCATTATTGATAAGATTGAAGAATGATTTTTACCTCTAGTTAATAATTTAATTCATCAGAAACATAATTTCCATTTAGTTTTGAAGAGGACTTAATTTACAGTAAGGTTTATAGAAATTTCCTAAATGAGGCTTAAGAAACGTAAATATATCATAGAGCATAAGTTATCATGCAAACTTGCCAGACTGAGGGTTTATGACTTAATTTGGAAAAGAAATATACATGCCATTTTTATGACTGTCAACCATAACTGAACCCAATGTACCAATCTTTTATACTTCTTAGATTACTAAAATAGGTAAACCCATTTGACAAGAGTGAGCATCGATAGCTGTATAGTGATTTTAATCATAGCTTAGTTGTGGCACAAGGTTGAAAGAATGGGGTACCAAGTAACAATCAAACTCACTATTCAGTTGTAATTGATCCAGTGAGACAACCTTGCTACTGTTACACCACATTGAAGTGCCCCATTATTAATAGATGTATATCTACAGGTGAAAAAGTTATTGCATATTGTGGAATTTAAGACGTACTCTAGACTTAGTATATGTTCAAAGAAAAATATCTTCGTTGTAAAAATTCCAAGGTTGACCTACTTACAGGACATGAGCTTATTTGAAAGATCTAGTGTATTTTAATTTTATCTGTTGCAAAATTTGGTGAATCATGAATAAGTACTTGTAGATGTTTTTCATTTTTTTTTTTTTTTTTTTTTTTTTTTGTAATGTTTCTAGCTTAAGTCATAATTCTGAATTTTATAAAAGAATAAGCTGCAAAACGCAGGAAATAATCTGTGCATTGAAATTGATAATTGGTGAATAACAAGTTGATATAAAGTGAGTAAAAAAGCCAGATGGTTAAAAAAAAAAAAAAGAAAAAAAAATTGATGTGCAAAATTTTAGTTCTCAAATTTGAAAAAAAAAAAAATTCTGCCAAAATGAAGCTTGTCAGTTTATGAAAAAAAATACTTGTGTAACATTTGGTTTTCCTATTTGATAAAAAAGTTTGTGAACGGGCATGGTTTAAAAGATACATTTTTTGTTTTTTAACCTATGGGGAAAGTAATTTTGGCCAATGCAAATGTCATACTGGGATTGAATCTGGAGTCAGTTTGAGGCTATTTAAGAAGTTGATCTTAAAGGCAGGTGATTAACTGTGGTCTGTTTCTGATGCTAAATCAATGGTAGGAAAAACCTGAATTAAAAAGAAAGCAAAAAAGAAAACAGATTCACAAAACTACATTTGCTTCCATACATCCCAAATGACAAAAAAAAAAAAAAATAAATTAATTTTATTCTTATGAAAAATATTGTAAAACTTGTTAAATTTAATCACTTGTCATTGATCTTTTGTTTCTTCTGAAAATATCCCAGTTGATCAATAATTTCAATTTTTTCATTTTTCTCTTTATGCTAAATTTTCTTTACTAACTTATTTATTGCAGCTTATTATTCTTATTAAAACTGAGTTTTAGGGTGTAGTGTTTGGAGGATTCATTTTCTATAAAATTCTTCAAATGCCATTAATTTTCAATATTTAAACAAGTGAAAAAAATGAAGAAATTTCATATCTTTCAATTGCTTACATACATGATTCTTTTCTTTTTATTATAATAATAATAATACAAAATGTAATTAGTACAAGGTCTTTTAGACTTGATGGCTCTGACTAAATAAAGTAAGATATCACTTTCAAAGAAGTAAAGTATTTTCTCACTTTATGATGATGGTTATAGCTTTTGGATAATCAAAAAAAAAAATGGATATTCCATTGACTGCTCACAGAATTGTCTATCTGAATCAAGAAAGAGGATCAGTAGTTTGAAAAATTGATTTGGAAGAGAATCTGCTCTACATTCAAAAGGCAACACAAAACTAGCCAGAATGATTTGACTGACAGAAATCAGATAATTACTTTTAAGCTTTCTTGTCTAACCCCGAGAGAATGTTAAATTCTTTGAGACACCACTAGATAGCATGTCTGGAGACACTTTCATTCACCAGGAGTAACATTCTTGGACAAAGTGATTGATGTAACCTAAACAAAGCCTAATTAGATAGCAGTGTGATATTGGAATAGATTAGGCTACTTGACCAAATTTGTCTTTTTCTTATTGTAATATCAATTTATCCATCATTCTTGACATTTTTGTCTGTACCAGTGATGGGAACGTAAATTTGAAATGCTGATTTATCAACACAGTCAGGCCCTCCCCACTTTAACAATTGGCACAATATAATTATGTCCCATTTCATCTTTTGGCAGACTTAGCTAAGCTTAGTGAATATCTATGCAAAAAAAAAAGCAGTATTACAATTGAAAATTATGCCTTTGAAGATTAGTGAAAGATTTTAAAATCATTTTGAGTGCATGATTAAGCTGTACTATTTCATTGTATTGTTGCAGTTAATTCTGCACTTTTGAAGAAATTCCCAATAGTTAAAGCATTCAAATAACATGATAGTATCATTTTTATATTACTAGTACAATAGTAATATTGATGTTATTACTATACGTTTACATGTGTGATAGAATATTGATTATGCCATTTAACTTCCTTCTTTGCTTTGTCATTTCCTTGGAATGACCACAAATGAATTCTTTTATTCATTTGTATAGCCTTGTTAGCTGTTCAGCCAATAACTGATCTACTGATATTTACTTAAAGGAAATTAGAAACTATTCTTGGCTACTTTCTGGTTTGAAGGAACTTCATGACCTTGTACTTAGTTTTATCCACTCTCATTTTACAGTGACCTGTAGTTGAAACTAAAATTGCTGTGTACTCTTTGAAAATGAGGTTTCTGAGGTAGCTTTGAACCCAATAATAATTACTTTTTTTCTTTTTAACAAGTGCAAAAGTGGTCAAGGTTTAACTTGAAATTAGTTTTTAATTTTTTTTTTTTTTTTTAACTCTTAGCTGACAAAACCTATCAAAAGTGTAAGTTTTACATTTCATCTCAGTAATTCTAAGTTATTGAGAGATCAGAATTGTTCAAAAGTATTTTTTGAATAATGACTTTAAAAAAAATTAAATTTTGGGTAGTTTGTTCTCAACTTTTTCTGTTTACTTTTGGTAAATATATTGAATATATTGTACAGAATTTTATAAATGATTCATGTTTTGGCAATCCCAAATGGAAACACAATGTTAAAAATAATTGAGTATGGATAGAGAGCAGAAAAAAAACATCACTTTATAATAGTGTATGCAAATAAATAAAATCTCACAAATTGTTTAAGTTAAATATTTACTGTTGCATACATTCTGAGTGCATCCACTTTTTTTTTTATTAAATCTTAATGTGTTTTATTTTATTTTATTTTTTAAGGGTGTCACAAAAAGATTTGAAATGTATTTATAAAAGAGAAAAATTAGGTCATGCTATATTATTGGATGATTACATAAAGAAATATAAATTGACAATCAGTAACCTTTTTTGTTTTTTCTGCATGTGTGCTTTTTCCCCTAACATTGATATTTATTTGATGGATACAAAAATGTTTCTTTTCTGAGTTTCCTTGAAAAGACTCCCAATATTATAAATATTTTCAATTCTTTATTGAATAAATATGTTGTAATTCTTAATCTGAAAATGTCTGTTTTGGGTATTCAGTATTTTGAAACAGTATTTCAGAATAATAAGTTTATAACTTTTATAAAATTTCATTATTACTGAATAACTCTAACATTGTTCTAGCTTTGTAAAACTTTAAATATACAAATATCCTTTGTTGCTAAATAAAATATTTTACTGAATTGATAATTTCAGTTTCAGATTAAACTTAAGTACTAAAGGTTAATACATCTCAAACTTTTCATCAAAGAGAAACATGTTTTAGTGATACCTTAGTTTTTCATTTTATTTGAGGAAATGATATGGCAAAATTGTTAATGTTTTTCACTCTAAATTCTGTTACTGCAATATTGATCTTTGGCAGCTATGGCAATAAAACAAGAAAAAATTAAACATTTAACCATACTTAAGGGATTTCATGATGCTCTTTAATTAGAAGCTGTCATTATTATAGTGTTAACTATTTAAACCAAATGATAGAAATTTTATAATTTAATGTGTGTGGAATTTTGAGATGTTTACATTTCAATAGAATAATTTCAAAAATATAGTCTGCAAAAACTTTACAATAGTATCTTAAATTCAATTAATTTTGGTGATTTATGGCCATATGTTGAAACACTGGTTTTCATCTGATTACTGAAATTAAGCAATGTCTAGCTTGGTCAGTACTTAGATGGGTGACTGTTTGGGAATATTTGGTGCTGCAAGAAAGATATGAATCCACTTTTTCTTTCTCCATCTAACAGGTTAAATAGTTGGACTTGTATCTGAAAATCATTATCTTGAAAACCTTAATACAATATTTACTGACAAAAAAAAAAATTCTTACAATTCAAAAATGTTTCTGCTTTAGCCCTTTAGCATTCAACCTGCCCTGTAAATATTGGCTCTCAATATTCAACTGGCTGTAAACCAACCCCATGTATACTCTCCCATAATATGACAACATCATTGCAAATAACATTGAAAATCACACAGCTAATATTTATGGGATGAATTTGAATTGTATTGAATGTTAAAGGGTTAAATAACTTATAAAAGATTGATAAGGCATAAAATACAAATTGATTAATTTTGTATAGACAAATTTAAAAAAAAAAAAAAAAAAGCAATAAGAATGGCCATATTAGTTGTTTTAATGAAATGACATTAAATTAAGCCAATTGTCTTTATCTCATGCCTAAATCCAGATTAACTTAAGCAAAGGATTACTAACCGAATTGCTTGAAGATTTACGATAATAAAGAAGTTAGACTGATGGCATCCATAAACATTTTTGATTTTTTTTGGGGGGGGGGATGTAAATGCTGTTAGAAGTTCCTCTTCAGTTTTGTGTAAAGCAAATGCAAGTTACAGAAAAATTGTTTATTACTTTATTAATTCTATGGCCATTTTAACATTTGGTGCAATGGAAGTTTGTGCTAGAATTAATCATAGATTAAGATTGGATGAACTGTTAAATTGTGTTGAAACCTCTGAAGAGAATTACTGAAACATTATTACTGATGATTTAGCTGCAGTTATCTCTGAAAAGATTAATGGGAGTGGATGTTTGACACTGCAAGAGAAACCAGGAAGGCATATATAAAAACATTTTATAAAAAAAAAATTGGACAAATGGGTATTACGATCACTATAAATGGAAATTCGAAAGAAAATATATATTAATAAAAAAGAAAAATTGATAAAAAAATGAGAAAAAGCTCTATCAAGGAAATAGCTGTGTAACAACTAAAAAGGGATAGAATTGTGGATAATAAATACATATTTATTAATAAAATATCAGCATATGTATTATAAATTGATTAATTTGATTTTTTTTTTTTTTTTTTTTTTTTTTTATTGCATCAATTAGGTTTTGTACTCACCAATAAAATCTTTTAGCATTCTTATATTTGTTTAAATTTGAGTTTATATTTCAGTTAGCTATTTTCATACCTCTTGAAGCAAGAAATAGTGACGGCTTCAAGTGCATAGGTTATACAGAAGGTCTAATAACTTCATTTTGTTTAATATTTACTTAGTATAGCACAAGGTTACAATTGTGGAGAAGTCAGTGAAGATCAAATTCATTAATTGATAGTATTGGCCACTCAGATTATTTTGCTAAATGTTGTTTTGTAAGGAGAAGGTTAGCTTCAAATTGTTGAATAGGATGTTCCATTTCTATCTAATATCTGCAGAATATTTTTTGTTCACATTTAGAATGTACTATCTCCCACATAATTCTTTTTTAAAACAGTTTTTTTTATTATAAATATTGATTATTCTAAAAGAAATTTGCAACTTGATCTTGCAGTGGATGTAGTTGGAATGTATTAGGGTATTGAGAATATGCAGTGAAAACTGGTTTGTATAGCATATTTAGTCTGCAGTACCCACCTCCACATTAGCAATTTTTGCACACATCTTATATGAAAGTTTAGGGGTTGATAATCCACTAAACAAAATCAACCAGACCAAACCATATGAAAGTGCTTGGACTGTGCATCCTGATGAATTGATAAAACCACTTGAGGGAGGTTTCGATGGCTGATTGAAAGGTCTTGAACTTCACTGTAATTCACGGCAAATGTCAACAATGTTGAACATATCTGTATAAAAACTTAGCATTTAATTTATACTTGTGATTCTGGTTTTCTTTTATTTCTCTCTCTCTCTCTCCCTCCCACCCATCCTTGACTGTGTCAGTTTATTTTTATTTTTTCCTGGATATTTTTTTTTTTTTTGTTTTTTTGTACTGCTTGATATTTGTAATCCTTTTGCTCGATGGGTGTAGATAGGATGAGGATGGTTTTTAACCTTTTTGTAATCTTTTAAGCTGTGACTTTGAGCTTGGATCATTCCAGAAATACTCATTTAAAGTTTTACTTTCCTATTTGTTAAACACATAACTTATTATTGCCTAACTTGAAATTCAGAAGGAAGCAGTCTTTGTCAAAATATTTTTTCTCAATGGATGATATAAATTGAGAATATTTAAGAATCCCGTTACCAATTCTTTATTTGCAATGAAACATCAACAAGTTATTAAAATTGCATAATTATTTAAAAAAAAAAAAATTTTGTAAAGAGAATGAATACATTATAATGAAGCTTTTGATGGGTAAAATTTTGTCTATTTTTCTGTTATATCACTAATTTTACCCTGTCATTTTCTTTGACTTGATGCAATTTTTGTTGCATTTGTCTTGAAATTTCTATTAACTGAGTTTTTAGCAATAAAAAAACAGAAGTTTTTGATTATTTTTGTGTTACAACTACTAAATACAACAGTGATAGTTATATAAACTTAAGAGAAATGACTGAAACTGTAGACTTAAGTATTATCTACATTTGGTATAATTCTATCCAGATAATCAGGAAAATTATTCTTTTTCATTGAAAAATAATTATTACTATTACTTTTAATCTTAACAATTTATACTCACATTTTTTGATGGAAAGTAAATATCTCCATTTTATAGCTTTTTACCTCTATAGATTTTAAAGTAAAAATTTTTTTAAATTTTTTTATTTATTTATTTATTTATTTATTTATTTATTTTTTGTACGAAACTTTTAAAACTTGGGATCTTCATTAGCTTAACAATTAACACTTGTTATGGTATTTATTAAGGAGGTTGATAAGCAAAATTGGGACAAGGCTAAAATGTTTATATTTATTTTTCATGATAGATTTTGAAGTATTTTAACAGTTTTATAGGATACATGATTGATTTATTAGTATCCTGTTTCTTTGAATATCTTTGGCGGATCCAACTTTACAACAGTTATTTCATCTCGGTCCGTATTTTGTTTACATAGAAATTTCTCGTATTTTTGGTAATTACTTTGACGTTCCTATTATGCTCATTGTGATGATTAGTATTAAGATATGACTTAATTTTTTTACCAAGTTTTGGTTTGTTATAAATTTAGTACAACATACATAATATTAGGTGGCATGTCACTTAATTTTTGTAAACATTTTTTTTTTTTCCATTTTCAAAATAATTGCTTTTTAGATTTAAATTAGGAATAATTTAGTTTGCAAGAAATGAAGTCTAACTTAATTTTTGTACAGAAAATAAGACCTCCAGGTAAAATGGCTTCTTGAAAATTTCTTCCAGATTGCTTAAACAAGAACATTATTTTCTGTTCATTCATTTACTTCAGTTTATTTCTAAATATGATAAAGGCAGAATGAATATTGTGAAGTTAGATTTGTGCTTATACATACCCTGAAAGTAATGTGGTGATTTATATTTATTGATTACATATCTTTTTATTTATTTTGTATTAATATATTTTTTATTTATTTCAGTTGGAGATTTACATATTATTTTGTTATATGCATAGTTGGTATAAAGATTCTTTCTAATGTAAGTATATTTTTCTTGATTAAAATTATCAACATTTATATAAATAAAATTGATTTATTTAGAATACTGTCTAATCTCCATTGCAGGTAACCATTTGTTAAAGAAATAAAGTTCATATACCTAATAACCTTAAGAAATGACCCTTAAAAATTGTCATTTCTATTACTTCTAGAGAATGATTTTCCTTATTGAACTGAAACGAGAAAACATTTCTTTATCAATATATCATGTCATTTTTAGTATCTTTTTTGTTGTTCTGTATTAGGGTACTTTATGTGACTTTCATATCTGCAGATAGGCTATAAAATCTTTAAGTTAGCCAGAAAGCAGACTTAATTTCCAGATACACTGTCTAAATGCCAGAAGTTTGATTTTGGTGTTAGATAAGAATACTTGCTCAGCAGTTTTATATCAATGAATGTTCAGGTAGTGCTATTCAGAAACCTAGTCAGAAATGGTAGCAGCTATGATAATGTTAATATTAGCAGTTTCCATATAAGGAAACATTTGACATTCATTGAATGAGCAGTCAGTGCTACTTTTGGTTGAAATTTATAAAATCTTTCTATTAAAACAATTCTTCAGGGAAATAAGCTTTTTGTGTTCACTGACATAACATTTTGTTTGAAGTAGTGTGGAATGTCAACATCTTGATTACATTACTATTTTCTCTTTAAGTTACATGTGATATCTATTTTAGTTTTTTTGAAAGTTCTCAAGTGAACAGTTCTTTGTGACTTTGTAGTGCCAGTTCATGAGGTCCCTGCTCAGACCTGTGCTTTATTTGCTTGAAGCCATTTTTAGCCATTGATCTGAGAATGCAGTTGTATACAGCTGATGGTGTGTATAATTTTGATCAAGTTTGGCACCATACATATTCATATGAAAGTGCTATCTAAATTCTGAAGTTTTTAAAATTTTTCTTTTAATTTAACATTTCAATATTAATGTATTTCATTTACTATTATAAGGTTTTTTTCCCTCTTTTACTCTTTTTGATTTTTACTTAATGGTTCCCATTCTTTCATCAGTTTACAGATAAATTATACCTGCTCTCTCTCTCTCTCTCTCTCTCTCTCTCTCAAAAAAGTTTCTTTGAGATTGAATATATGATGTCTCTAAAATACATAAAAAGAAAATACACAGTAAAATATTCCTATTAGTGAATAGAAAAGGTTTTAAATTAGCCTAAATATAACCTTATTTAAAAATCAATCAATTTTATTAACCTGAAATAAATATTTCTATTTAGTAATGTCGTAACTTAAATTCATGGAATAGATAATTACCTAATATTACTTTTGGAAATATTGTACACACACACGTGTGTATGCGCTCCTGCT